AATAGAATAGAATAGAATAGAATAGAATAGAATAGAATAGAATAGAACAGAACAGAACAGAACAGAACAGAATAGAATAGAATAGAATAGAATAGAATAGAATAGAATAGATTTATTGCCCAAGTGTTATTGGACATACAAGGAATTTGTCCTGGTGTAAATACTCTCAGTATACATAAAAGAAAAGATACATTCATTAAGAATCAAGAATCGTAACGTACAACACTTAATAATAGTCATAGGGTACAATCAGCAATCAAATAATACTAGGAAACAGTCAATATAAATCGTAAGCATACAAGCGACAAAAGTTACAGTCCTACAATCACAAGTGGGAGGGGATGGGTGATAAGGAATGATGAGAAGATTAATAGTAGTGCAGACTTTGTAATAGTTGAACAGTGTTGAGGGAATTATTTGTTTAACAGAGTGATGGCTTTCAGGCAGGAATTGGGTATGTCTACTTTAATGAAAAGAAGGACTAGGGGTGACATGATAGCAGTCTTCCATTATCTCAGGGGTTACCACAAAGAAGAGGGAGTCAAGCTATTCCCCAAAGTAGCTTAGATAAGGACTGTTCAGGTAATTCCCCATTCGGAGAATGAGTGCACACAGGGAGACGTAGTGAGAGTAGTGAAGAATAACACACAACCAGCACACAGATACACTGTAAAATAAAAATGTATGTAATGTCCTACCTGTCAATGAATACTTCAGCTTCAACCATAACAACACAAGAGCACACAACAGATACAAACTCAAGGTTAACCGCACCAAGCTTGACTGCAGGAAATATGAACATTGCAATGTCCTACCTGTCAATGAATACTTCAGCTTCAACCATAACAACACAAGAGCACACAACAGATACAAACTCAAGGTTAACCGCACCAAGCTTGACTGCAGGAAATATGACTTTAGCAACAGAGTGGTCAATGTCTGGAATACTCTACCCGACTCTGTAGTTTCTTCCCCAAACCCCAAAAACTTTAACCTTAGACTGTCTACTATTGACCTCACCCCTTTCCTAAGAGGTCTGTAGGGGGCGTGCATAAGCGCACCAACGTGCCTACCGTCCCTGTCCTATTGTTTCTTATATTTTTCTTTTATTTTTCTTATATGTACTCATTTCATGTATTCATAATTATGTATACACTTTTACTTATCTCGTAAACAATTGACAAATAAATAAAATAAAAATAAATAAAATAAATAAAATTTAAGCAAAGTCCAACAAAGCAGTCCAAATCATTCACAATTAAAGCAGTCAGTTTTCAGTCCAGGGATAATCCAAATAACAAAGTCCAGTATCAAAAACAGTTCAGTAAAAGACTCACATCAAATCCAAGAATAACTATGATCAGCAACAGTCAATAGGGAAATGCAGGAATGGCAACACTCTCGGCAACAACAGAACAGAACCACCCAGGTTTCTAGCTCCATCTTATGGCCGTTTGAGGAACCACACCCAATTACAATTTTAACATTCCCTTAAAGAGACAGTATTAAAATGTCCATCCTGCTTTATATATTTTCCAACCCAACTGTTAGGTGATTTACATTCCTAACAAGGACAAGAAGCAATGGATGGAAACTAGTCAAGGAGAGAACAACTTAGAACTAAGGAGAAACTTCCTGACAATTAGAAGAATTAATCAGTGGAACAACTTGCCTCCAGAAGTTGTGGGTGCTCCATTATTGGTGGTTTTCAAGAAGAGATTGGACAACAATTTGTCTGAAACAGTATAGGATCTCCTGCTTGAGCAGTTGATAAAGTGGAGAAATCCTTCTCTAGGTCTTCCCTTTCAGCCTAAGAGGTGTGTGGCCTCTCTGAGGGACATCCCCAGAAGAGAGCTGAGGCTGGTCCTTTTCTTCAGGAACATCCCTAGACAGTGTCCTGTAATGGGGTCCTCAATTTTTCTCTACTTGGGAGGGAGTCAGCTAATCTGCAGAGCTCCTCTATGGACATGGCCAAAATATGTCCTTGTGTTAGGATTCCAGCGATCACCCAAATTAAATCAAGAGCCTTGAGCCAAACTTCAAAAAGCTTCGAAGAATTCATTAGGAGCGACATACTGGCATAACGCCGATTGTATGAAGCTGATTCTGGCATATGTAATTACAGTCACCTGGGTCACTCCCCCCTGGGTTTGCCATAAATCAGTTTTTCCAATTAAGCACATACAGGGTCTAGGTGTCATCCATCACATACTCCAATTAAAGTTTTTCGCGGGCAAAAGCTTCAGTAGCTTAGCTACAATCTTTTTTAAGATAACGTCAGAATGTGCTTCTAAGTTCATTTGCCGTATACTTCTCCAGTCTTCCCACCCTCCCCCTCTTTCTTATGGCAACTTGGAAACAAGTGTAGGAATGTTTTACAAGTTGAGACCTTGGTCTTATGAGATCAGGTGACTAGGGATCTTAGGGAAATAGCCCTCTAAATGGAAAGTCCCTATTAATTCTCTAGGCATGAGGTTGCACGCTTCAGAGAAGACACTTTTCTAGTTTGGCCACCTCTTGATTAATCCCATAATCTATCTCGGTCTGCAGGTCAGCAATCTGAGCCAGAGTTACTCCTTCACGGTTGAGCTGGAGACGCCTGTCCAGGGCCTGAAGCCTGCCTTGGTGAAAGTCTACGATTATTATGAAACCGGTGAGAATGGGATCCCAATGGATGGGGAGAGGCCTGATCAGCATAGTTAATTCTATTATTTTTTCAAAATCCATCTCCTCCTTCCAAGTTTACCCCAAACTTTAAAGGTGATGAGGGTTCTGACACTAGTTCTTGAAAACAATATAATGCTGTATGAGGACTAGCAACCCTGGTTTCTATTGACCAAATTAGATGAGGCACTCTGACAGTTCTTCCTCTTTTATTTGTGTTTTCAGATGATTTTGCCATCTCGGAGTACATCGCCCCCTGCAGCACAGGTGGAGTATAAACAGCAATCGATTCTTGCCATAATTCCCAGTGCCAAGCATTTCTTCTCCTCCTTAGAGATCATCACAGGGCTGTTTTATTTTAACAAGAACTTCCAACTAATTCCATTTCATCCTGTTTTTGCAAAGTTACAAACAAACTCTTCAAAAGGGTAGTTTAGATCACTATGGAGCTCTTTTTTCAAAAGTGAATTTTGTTATAATGGCGTGGAACCCCACTTGGCAATCTGTATATGGACAAAATCTGGCTGAAGCCCATTTGGGATCCTGCGCTACAGAAACCAGCCTTTCTTGTGGCTGGGATAACCTCATAGAATACTCTGGTTTTCCTATAAAAATGCTATGTTGACACCTCCCCCAAACGCCTTGGTAAGACCATTCTTACCTCTAGTTTTGCACTCAATTTTGGTCGCCACGATGTAAAAAAGATGTTGAGACTCTAGAAAGGGTGCAGAGAAGAGGCACAAAGATGATTAGGGGACTGGAGGCTAAAACATACAAAGAACGGATGCAGAAATTGCGTATGTCTAATTTAATGAAAAGAAGGACTAGGGGGGACATGATAGCAGTCTTCCAGTATTTGAGAGGCTGCTACAAAGAAAATAAAAATGGAGTGGGGGTTTCCCTCTATGCTCCAAAGCACTTTGGGGCAGAACAAGAAACAATGGATGGAAACTAATCAAGGAGAGAACCAACCTAGAACTAAGGAGAAATTTCTTGACAAGTTTTCTGTATCCTGTACAGAGGTGGATTTATAAGCTGTACAGATGCAGATAGATAACTCAACAAGACGTCCATAACAAAGTACATTTATTGGTTCATGAGGTATCCCCATAACTCACATTTGTGATGAAGTTCTTCTTTAATGACCAATCCTTTGTATATCTGCCTTGTTGTAAAAGATGGTTATCTCCTAACCCATCTCGTAGCGATAGAAAGAAGCTGCTGTGAGTTAGAGAGTTCAGGCAAAAGTGAGTAAAACTCCCCCCAACTGCTCAAGGGTCAATTTAGTGACCAATCAGGATTACAGATGTGGTCACGTGATATGGACTACATTTCCCAGGATACCTTTAACTACATTTACCATGATGCATTCCCTTAAGGGGACAGCTCATAATTTCTAAGTAACAATCCAATTCCCATAGACTGGCTGGAACAGCACAACAAGTGAGAACAATTAATTAGTAGAACAGGTTGCTTTCAGAAGTTGTGGGTGCTCCAGCACTGGAAGTTTTTAAAGAAGAGATTGAACAACCATTTATTTGAAATGGTATAGAGTTTCTTTATTGAGCAAGGGTTTGGATTAGAAGAGCTCCCCAGTCTCTCCTAACTTCGTTATTCTGCAAAACACTCATTGTCAGAGCAAGAGAGAGCAACTTCTGTCCTGTGCAGTTGTGCTGGATGCAAGCAAAACCCACTTGATTCCAACATTTTGCTTCTTATGGGACTAACCAGTAGCTTCTGCTTCTTCTGACCAGCTTCTTCTGCTTGTGTCTGGAAATCTGGAGCCCAGATACATGTTCAAGACAGATTTGGTAGGATCAGTTAGACCTGATCTTTTCCTGCATGGTTTTTTTAGCATTGGTTACAGGGTTAATTGATTGGTTTATTATGTGTCATCAGATCCACATCAACTCTTAGCAACCACATAGATTTTCTCCATCACGGTCTGTCCATAACCTATGCTTTTAGTTCAGCCAGTGGCGTCCTCTTCCCAGTGCCACGGAGTCCTTTACTACTAGTTTTCCTCTTGTCTTACCTTATACCCTTCCCAACATCAAAGCCTGTTTCTAGGAAACTAGGTTGGCTGAATCTTCCTTCTGACAATTTTCATGCTTTTTCTTCGACAGACGAAGATGTCAAAAAACATTAAGCAAGACAATATCCAGCCAAACCAAAACTATTGACCAAGGAAGAGAATCAAGGAAGAATCCATCAAGTATGCTGTCCCCCCTTTTTTTCTATGCAAAACCCCACTAAATGTATGTGCCCAACTTAACACTGTCTTCCAGGCGACTGGCTACTTACATTTTCACCACTGATGGTAACAGAAGACCGGGATACAGATTGCTACTGGAGATCAAGAGCAGAAATATTTTTACTTTCTCCACTTGTTGGATGAAATAAAACAAGTTTTTTTCTACTCCATCAGTATTTCTCTAGTGAATCTTTAATATGAGGGTGTGGTGAGAGGTGTTTATAGGGAGAGTTGGGGCACAGGAGATAGGTTTGCTAAGAGCTGCTCTCAACATTGGAGATAACCAGGAAAATAATTGGGGTGGGATAGGGCACCAAGGTAGGGATTGTAGGAAGCCAAAACAAACCAAGAAAAAAAATGATACGGATTAATATTTAGTGCACTAAATGGATCTATACATATAAAAGCGAAAGACCACTCACACATCATCACAAAATCTCCAGAACCATAAAACCTACAAACTTGAAATTTGGCACGTATGTTCCTCTTGGCTTCTAGGTGCTTGCTAAGAAAGGATTTTTTGAAATGACCATCAGAGCATTCATATTTCCTATATTATTATTAACATGCTCTGATGCTAAGGAGTTCTACTCCCCCTCCCCACCTGAATAGAAATCTGTTCTAAATGCAAAACACAAGCAGTGGAGAGGAGTTTCAGTTTCACAGCACCAAGCAGCTATAGTACAGAACAGTTGAGCTAAGCCACGCCCAGGCTCCTTGCTGTCTCCTTGTTAACACAGCAAATATTGTTTCAGTTTCCAAACAGTCCTCAACTCTCACACACTGACAGGACACTAGTCAGATGAATACCACTGGATGCTGATAGGTAGAGGCAGAATTCCCCCTCCCTTATTTCCCACCCAAACTAAACCCGACCACATAGTTTCATAGCGAAGCACGGGTATCGAGCTAGTCAATGTATAAAAGAAATATTTGGCCAATGAAGGTAGGGAACAGCAGAGCACCCTTTCACATATATATTTACACTGATATTGACATAGATATTGAGATCAGTCATTCTCAAACATATAGGAGAAGCATTGAAAATTATGTTTTGAAAAGTCAACAGGCACGCTCCACATTTCTCTAAAATTTAACTTTAAAGTTTGAGACACTCTCTCAATTTTGGCAACTTGAACTTTAATTCCTAAAAATTCCCCGGCCAACATGGAAAAACAAAATAAAGTGTTTCTTAAGGTAGCCATTTTTACAAATTCAATACCCCATTCTTTAGAATCTCTTGTAATTAAAATAATCTTTCCTTTCCTCCCCTTTCTTCCCTTCCCTTGCCTTCCCATCCCATCCCATTATAGTCTCTTACAATATTGCTTAGAATAACTTTTTTCAGAACTCAAATCTTCATCTCTTTTCTTACATTCTCACCTGTATCTCCTTTTGTTATTTTTCTCTGATTGTCTTGGCTTGAATAAAAGAACTGATTTGTACAGATTATCTCACCCAGTGTCACATTTTTCTTGTCTTAAGCTAATTTCTGAAACTGCACAATTCACTATTAATCAGTAGTAGAGAATTCCGGAATTATTCAGTTTAGAGAAAAGGAGGGGTCCTGAAATCAGTGTTTTGATAGATAAATACAGCCATATGGAGGATGCTGAGGAAATACTTTTCCATAAGTTTAGCTATAACAATTTGGTTTAACTGTAAAAAAATGTCTAGGTGGAAGAATTGAGGCTACAAAAGAAACTGGAACAAATTCAGATATACACACCGAGTTCTTCTGTCAAACTAAACATATTTTTATTGTCAGCACTGAGGAAAAAATATTTCATGCTTATGTTTCCTGTATGAAGGGTTCGTCAATTAAACAACCAAATATACATTTATTTACAGGGCTTCCTGCACTTCCTTCACTATTTGAATTGCTCTCTCCATAATCCACACATTTGTTAAACTCGAAGGTCTCTCTTGCCTGACCAAGTTGCCCCTCAGAAATCTTGATCATAAGATATGCTTGTTGCAGGTGTTCTCATTGACCTAGAATAGTCCATGTACCCAATTTGGGGGTACGACAGTACAAAAAGAACAATTACAAGTTCAGAAAAGGATAAGCAAGACATTGAAGCCCTGGAAACCAACCACCAGAAGGAACTGAGTTTGTTTTAGCCTACAACAAAGACAGTTAAAAGCCAATGCAACTCTATTCAAATATTGCAAAGAGTTATCACACTTCAGCCATAGACTTCATCTCTTACATAGATGACATAGATGAAAATTCAAATTAAACATCAAGAGGATGTAAATAGTTCCTAGCTAGTGCAGCATGAAGTGATGGCTTCTTCCCTAAAGGTCTATGATGGAAACCAAAGGTCAACCTTTGGTTACACTTGGATGCCTTTTCCAATGTAGGTCTTTTTCACCATCAACTAGTTTTTGTCCAGCCAATCTGTCTCTTTGGGTAAGCCTTTCTTCAGAATTTTCACACCATGGTCCTGAGAAAGCTGCACCACAGCACAGAAAGGACAATTACACATTCAGAAAATGATAAGCAAGAGGCTGAAGGCCTCAAAACCAACCATCAGAGGAAACAGTTAAAGAAACTGGGTTTATGTAGCCCGAAACAAAGACAGTTGAAAGCAAATGTAGTAACTGTCTTCAAATATTTCAAGGGTTGTTACAGATCAGTAATAATTTTCATTGTTATGCCAAAGGGCAGGACAATGGATTCAAATGTTATAGATGAAAATTTAAAGTAAATAGTAAGAGGAAATAAACGGTTGTTAGCCAGCTCAGCATAAGTGATGACTTCTTCTCTAGAGGTCTATAATGAAAACAAAAGGGAATTATTTATTTTAGCAGCATCAAATATGTCAGTTCGAAGGAGTATTTCTTCTTCAGAGTAAATATTTCAGACTCAGGTGCCATTTTTCCTTTTTGTGGTCAGGTGATCTTTGGTATTCAGATCAGGCCTTAGTATGATAATGTAGCACTTGGGGAAGAAGATGCAGACCAGCAGAGCAGCACTGGAGGCTAAGATGGAGAAGACTTGCACGGCCACCATGGACTTCCCCTTGGTGCTCTGATAGGCAGGCACAAAGGACACCCAAACGCTGCAGAAGACCAGCATGCTGAAAGTGATCAGCTTGGCTTCATTGAAGGCCCCAGGCAGATTCCTGGCCAGGAAAGCTACTGTGAAGCAGATGGTGGCCAGGAAGCCCATGTACCCCAGGGCAACATAAAACATGGCAACAGAGCCTTCATTGCATTGCAGGGTGATCTCTCTGGGTTGGGAGAGCATGTCGGAGTCAGGAAAAGGTGGAAAGACACTGAGCCAGATGGAGCAAATGATGATCTGGACAGCAGAGCAAGAAAGGATAATGGAGTTGGCAAAACTCTTCCCAAGCCATCTGTTCATCCTCTTTCCCGGCTTTGTGGCCAGGAAAGCCAGCACCACTGTGATCGTTTTGGCCAGGATGGAAGAGACAGCCACTGAGAAGATGATGCTGAAGGCTGTTTGTCGGAGGAGGCAAGTGGCTTTGCTTGGCCGTCCAATGAAGAGAAAAGTGGACAAGAAGGAAAGCAGGAGGGAAGTGAGGATGATATAGGAAACATCCCGGTTATTGGCTTTGACTATTGGGGTCTCCAGGTATTTAATAAACATTCCTAAGATGAACCCAGTGATTAACGATAAGAATAAAACAAAGGAAACCATGACAATGCCCAAAGTTTCTGTGTAATGGAAGAAGACTGTAGTCTTAGGGATACATTGATCTTGATCTTCATTTGGGTGATGATCATTGGGGCATTTGATGCACTGCTCTGCATCTGCAAAAGACAAGAATAAGAACTTAAATTATTCTGCCATTTTCCCCCTATTCATTCTTCAATCATTAGCAATTAGCAGCTCGACTTATAGAACACTTCCCAGTGCTTTACACAACCCTCTCTAAGCGGTTTACGGAGTCAGCCTCTTGCCCCCAGCAATCTGGGTCCTCATTTTACTCACCTCGGAAGGATGGAAGGCTGAGTCAACCTTGAGCCTGGTGAGATTTGAACTGCCAAATTGCAGGCAGCTGGCAGCTAGCAGAAGTAGCCTGCAGTACTGGACTCTAACCATTGCGCCACCACAGCTCACAGAATACTCTTTGACTGGAACCTCTATTTACTCCCAGCATCTTACTTTTTTTTTTTTTTAGGAAACCGCAAATTGAGATGGAGAAAAAAAGATGCCAGGTGACTAAGCTAGATTTAGAAAAAAAACTAAGGAGGCCTCAGGCACAAGGCCATAGGCAAATAGACAATAGAAATTGGCAATATAAATCCAATAAATAAATAAGTTAAAAACCTGTCCCCCGTTATTTATGCTATTCTTTCATCAGTCCCCAGGATGATTAAGACCACTTCACAAGTTCACCAGGGAGGCCACACTTAATGATTCTAGGGAGTTTAGGAATTGGAATGCTTACATCCCAATGACTCTCTGCCTCCTTGTTAAGCAGGAGTACTAGGCCTGGTCTTGGACAAAGAGGCAGAGTCCAATCCACCTTTCCTGCAGGAGCTGCATTGGTTACCCATTTGCTTCCAGGTGCAATTCAAGGTGCTGGTTGTCAACTTTAAAGCCTTTCATGGTTTGGGACCAGGTTATCTGAGGGAATGACTCTTGCCAGTCACATCTACCCAACCCATTAGAGCGGGGAAGCAGGGAATGCTGTGGGTCCCTTCCCTGAGGGAGATACACCTAGTGGGACCCAGAAGAAGGGCCTTCTCTGTGGTGGTTCCCTCTCTCTGGAACATCATTCCCTCAGAGATTAGAATGGCCTCTACTCTAGCACTTTTCTGGGAGGCACTGAAGACCTGGTTTTGCCAGTGGGCCTGGAGAGCCCAGAGCAGGATGGAGCCCATCAAATAGCTAGTGTGATTGGCTGGCATCAGGGCAGGGGATGGGAGTTGAGGGATGATTTTTTCCCCCAGATTCTATTATACTTTACTAATTTATTTGATTCTTCTTGTTAGTTTTTATGGATTTTTATTTTTTGTTTTAAATATGGTTTTACACTGTGTAAGCCGCCTCGAGTCACCATGAGTGAATAGGCGGCAATATAAAGTAAATAAATAAATAAATTCCCTCTGACTCACACATTTATTCAGAGCTGGACAGACCTGGGTCCTAATGAGCCTATTCAGATTAGGTGATAAATGAAACCACACTGGAAGACATACATGGGGTTCCCCTAACCAACGTGCCCACACTGAAGAAGCTCCTTGGACAAGCAGTGAAATGTTTCGGACCGACAAGAAAAGAAGTTCAGTTGCCATGACTCAACTTCCAGACAGGTCTACCCAGATAGACTGAGAATCTTCATCAACAACTTTGAGCAGTGATTTCATCTCCATGTTCTCATGATGTTATACTGGGAGCCACCTTGGGCCACACTTTCATATAACCACCAACTGGGCACAGAAATGAGGTTGCAGAGATGGATAATAAGGACTCGCTAAAACCCCACCCCTCTAGAATTCCCACCTTCCTGAATGGAGATGGTCCCATCTGCACAACGAACACACTTGTAGCAACAGACTGGATCTCCTTCTGGAATTAACTTGACCCATCCGGGATAGCAATTTTTGACACATCTGGAAGAGGGCATGGACTAAATAGATAAAAAATATGTTAATAAAGGGGTCTTAGGGTTCTGCATCTAAGGAAAGGAAACTAAACTTAGTTTAACTAAAAATCTATATTCAACACTAACTTTCTTCAACTGGAATAATTGGAAATGGTTTCTTAATTAATCTCTTTCCATTATCACGAGTGGTGGGATTCAAAAATATTTACTACCAGTTCTGTAGGGATGGCTTGGTGGGCATGGCAGGGGAAGGTTACTGCAAAATTCCATTCCCTCCCCATCCCACTAACCTGTTTTCCAGCTCCGTTCTCCTGTGCAGGGCAACAAAAGAAGACCCAGCTGATCAGCTGGGATTTGGAAGTCAGAGAATAAATGGGAACAGGGCCAGTCAGAGGTGGCATTTGCTGGTTCTCTGTACTACTCGAAATTTCTGCTACCAGTTCTCTGAACTACTCAAAATTTCTGCTACCGGTTCTCCAGAACTGGTCAGAACCTGCTGAATACCACCTCTGATTATCACCCTTATTTTTCCTCTTGATTGATTTTTAAGCTGTAAGTATCTTAGGGCAAGAAATAGCGTGGGGTAGTGGTTAAAGCATCTGCCTTTAAACCAGGAGACCATAAGATCCCTCTTTAAGCACAAATCCAGTTGGGTAACCTTAGGCCAGTTCCTCTCTTTCAGCCCTAGGAAGAAGGCAATGGCAAGCCACTTTTGAAAGTCTTGCCAAGAAAAATGCAAGGACTTCCCCAGGAGTCAGCACTGACTTGTAGGCATAAAACAGACAAACAAACAAAAACTGGGGCAAAACTTCTAAAAGGAATCTCAAAAGGTTGTGAATGATCAAAATGCTAGCAGAACACGAGCCCTTATTTGTAATGTACAGTGAATAATTGTAAAGGAAGGAAGGAAGGAAGGAAGGAAGGAAGGAAGGAAGGAAGGAAGGAAGGAAGGAAGGAAGGAAGGAAGGAAGGAAAAGAGGGTAGTAGGGGAAGGGAGAGGAGAGACTAAGAGAAGAGGAGAAGGGGGAGGGTTGGGGAGGGGAGAAGAGAAGAGAAGAGAAGAGAAGTGTATATGTGCCTCACTGATTGTAGTAAGTAAGAACACGGTAACAATAGTACAAACATTAAAGTGATCAAACTAACAATGACAATACAATAACCCAATATAACAATAAATATTTTAAAGTATTGGATAGATTCTACCTTTTAGATTAAAGAAACCAGCAGTGAAGAAATATATCACAGTTTGTAAGGTAGCAATGAAGGAATTGGAAAAGATATTCAGACGCTGTGTTGTATCCTACAGTCCACTGCCAGAATGCTGCTGGCAATGATGGGATATGTGTGGAAGTGATGTTCTCACCTGGTTAAGCCATTTTGGCCACACAATGGCATCCTCCTTGATAACCAACTTGGACTCCAAGGATCCCTGTCTCTCTAGGCTCCCAAAGACGACTTGATTGACAGATTTATTGGGAAACTTCACCCAATAGATAATGTCCAAGTCAGCTACCAGCTCTCCATCCTTGTTTAGGTACACACTCTCTAAGGCATTGTTGTAAAATTGAGAATTTTGTAGAAAAGGGTGTAGCTATAATGACAAATTTTAGAAGATATACTTGAGGGGAAGGAAATAAATATTCTTTATTTTAACTCTGCCCATTTCCAGCTTTGAGTCTCTTACACTCAAACAAGGGATCTAGTGTGGATAACACCTCACCTAACAAGGCAGGGTATCCTCAACCATCACTTTCAAATCAGAATAGAGGAGACTGTATACCATTCCAGACAAGTGACTCCAGTCTCTTCTTAAAAACTTCCAGTTTTTTGTGGTTCCACTGGTTAATTGTCCACACTGTTTGGAGGTTTCTCCTTAATTCCAGGTTGCTTCTCTCCTTGATTAGTTTCTATCCATTGTTTCTTGCCCTGCCCTGTGGTGCTTTGGAAAAACGTCGACTCTTCTTTGTGGCAGCCCCTCAAATACTGAAATACTGCAATCATGTTCTTCTTTTTTTTTAGACTAGAAATATTGAGTTCCTGCAACTGTTCTTTGTATGTTTTAATCTCCAGTCCCTTAATCAACTTAGTTGCTCTTCTCTGCACAATTTTCAATGCTTCAACATCTTTTTTTTTTTGTAATGTGGTGACCAAAACTGCTGGAATATTACAGGTGTGGGCTTACTAAGTTATTTCTGGTTTGGTTCTGCAACCCAACAGGACAGACACAGACTTCAGAGGATAATTAGAACTGCAGAAAAAACAATTACTACCCACCTGCCTTCAATTTAGGACCTGTATACTGCACAAGTCAAAAAGAGGGCTGTGAAAATATTTACGGACACCTCACATCCCGGACAAACTGTTTCAACTCTTTCCCTCAAAACGACGCTATAGAGCACTGCACACCAGAACAACTAGACACAAGAACAGTTTTTTCCCCAAATGCTATCACTCTGCTAAACAACTAATTCCCTCAACACTGTTCAACTATTTACAAAGCGTGCACTACTATTACTGTTAATCTTGTCCTCACTCCTTATCATCCATCCCTTCCCACTTGTGACTGTATGACTGTAACTTTGTCGCTTGTATCCATACAATTTATATTGACTGTTTCATAATATGATTTGATTGCTTATTGTACCCTATGACTATTATGAAGTGTTGTACCTGATGATTCTTGATTCTTGATGAATGTATATTTTCTCTTATGTACACTGAGAATATTTAAACTTTGGAAGAGCTTTATAGCTCCCGCTGCCTTAAGAAAGTTCAAAACATTCTCAAAGATTCATCTCATCCTGGACACCCTTTTTTTGAATTTTTACTATCTGGCAGACAGTACAGAATAATAAAAACAAGGACAAATAGGCTGAAAAACAGCTTCTATCCCAGGGCAGTAGCTCTTTTGAATTCTGCTATATACACTGTTGGTGCGGTGTTGGAGGTTTTCGGTTCAATGTGTGGAGGGTGAAGGATGTGTGTTTGTGTTTATTTTCATGGTCATGGTCATGATGTGCACTGAAGATGGTGTTTGATTTCGTTGTACGTGGCGCAATGACAAAAAGTAAAGTAAAGTAAAGCAAAGTAAAGTAAAATAAAGTAAAGTAAAGTAAAGTAAAGTAAAGTAAAGAAAAGACAAATTCCTTGTGTGTCCAATCACACTTGGCCAATAAAGAATTCTATCTATCTATCTATCTATCTGTCTGTCTATCTGTCTGTCTGTCTGTCTGTCTATCTATCTATCTATCTATCTATCTATCTATCTATCTATCTATCTATCAAAGCATTTAACAAGATTTAACAGATAATCAGAGTTGGAAGGGACCTTGTAGGTCATCTAGTCCAACCCGCCACCCAAGCGGGACACACTACACCATTTCTGACAAATGGCAGTCCAATCTCTTCTTGAAAGTCTCAAGTGATGGCACTCCCACAACTTCCTTCACCTTCAACTTTTTGCAAAGTGATGATTACATTAGACAGAGCAATCAGAGAGGGAAACAAAATACCTGCCAAGGCTGCAGCCTGTGAATTCCCGACTCCTTCTCACTTTTCTTCCTCCTCCACTTGGATCTAGAGGCATAGGCAGCATTTAAGGCACGAGCCACAGCCCAGATGGTGTTGTAGAGGCGGTAGCCATTGAGGGAAAGCACCCTTTCAATTTGATCCTGGGGCAAGGACCTCAGCTTCTCTCTCTCTCTGCATCTTATCCAGCCATGCACGGACAAGACATGTTTAGAGTATGAACACTGAAATGCTCGGTAAACATACTGCTGCATTAAAGCAAAGAAGAAAACCATATCATCATATTTTATCTTGTTTTTGGTTTGGATGTAGAAAGAAAAAAAGCCATAGGTATACTGGAAAGACAGAGCAGAATACTTCAAGTCAAGGATGATATTCGTCATTGTTGTGATGATCCAGATCTTCCCTTGTTTAGGTTTTATCTCCTCCTCAAAGACTCGTTCTATAACAAGCATTCTAAAGAAGCCAAACTGTGTCTCCACCAAGAAAATATATACATTGATTTCTTTCCATTTGAGAAACATATCAGAAGGGATATCCATCCCATGGTTAGTTATCCCTGAGAGGGTTAGTGAGAAAAGGATACAAACACCATTCGTTTCCAAGAGTGGCGTCAACGTTTTCAGAAACACCTGTCCTTTGTCTGTGTCTGGAGCAAGGAGGCCAATGGAGGTCCACCTGAAATAAAGGAGGAGTTTGACCATGCCTAAATATTGGATTCCCTCTTCAGGCACCATCCGGTAGAAAAATGGGAACAAAGCCTTATTGCTCAACACTTGAGAAACAAAAGCATAAGATACCTGGAATGAAAAGAAGGGATTGGATGAAAAGAAGGGATGGCAGAGCCCTGGGGACATAAGTTCATACAAATGACAAAATTCCAGGCAGTTTTCAACTTACAACCTTAATGGCTCCTTGTAACTTTCGAACTGCACACTATTAAAATTGTTTGCTACGCATTGAGTTTTCAGGTGGCATTTTAAGGGAGAAATGGCTAGTGTTCAGTTTTCCCAGCGTTACCTGTGGGATTTTGTAGATGCCTAAGAGAGTCGAAATCTGGATGGAGATGTCAGAGTCTGTCTCATCAAGAACAACCAACAGGTCCTCCTCTCTTCCACACATATAATTTGGAATGTTGGCTTGTCCGAAAGAAAGAAGGTCTAGCAAAGCTTCAGAAGTCATTTGTTCACTGCAGTAAATGTCGTGGAGGTTGTAGCCCAAAGTAATATTCGATAAGATACTTGGACTCTTGTTGATCTCTTGGATGGTGATTAAGAAGGAAAGGAGATGCCATATATTTCTTGCTTCTCCCCTGCAAAAAGGATCACATTATCATCCTCCATTTACCTTCTGTGTCATAGTATATTCTCAGCTTCTGGGAGTTTCCAGTGAAATCTATGGCAGAATAGACATTTTTGAAGGAAGGGGGACATCATTGCAATGGGGATGGGAACTCTGAGTGCTAGTACTAGCCCCTGAAATATCTCCAAATAAAAGAGAGATCAGAAGATAACCCACTTGTTCTCCGCACAGCTTCTCCCCACAGATAAATGACAGGAAGGAATGGTTGAGTGGCTGGGAAACAAAGGAAATGCTCATATGGATATAAGGTAGCCTATATGGACATTCAGTCCTGCTAAACTTCATTTCTAATGACAAGAGTTTTGCAAGAATTTATTCATAAAGACTAGGGTGCATTGTTACCTAAAAGACAATTAAAAGACCATGTTAGAATTGTTTTGGACATTTTAGAATATTCGGCACAACATAATGAAAAAACAAACTGCATAGGGTTTTTTTTAGATGCATAGAAGGCTTTCAACTCTTTGAACAGGATTTTCTTATTTAAACTTTGGAAAAATATGAATTTTGGAGAGAATTCAACAAAATGGGCAAAGTTTGTTTATGCTTTATAGAAAGTACAAATTATTGTTAAAGGAGATCTAACAATACCAAAGGAACAAGACATGGCTGCCCTCCGCCCCCTTTTCTGTTTATTACAGTTTGTGTAATATTGAATAGAGACATAAGACAAGGATTTGGGGAGTAAAAAATTACAAAGAGACTTACTGTACAATTTAATAGCTTTTGCAGATGATTTGGGACTGGTTTTGGATGATCCATTAAAGGGAATCCACTAATGGGAAAACTAAAATAATTTAGTCTATTAGCAGGTTTCACCAACCAAACACAAACAGAAGACAAAACAGAACGGATGAATAAAACAGGTTTTAAGATTGAGAAGAAGATAAAATACTTTGGTATTAATGTGACAAATATAAACCATATGTTATTTCAAAGTAACTATATAAAGATATGGAATGAAGCTATATATATATATAGCGAATGAAGCTATATATATATCGAGAGAGAGAGAGAGAGAGAGAGAAGCCTGATGATGGCTGATGAGATTCTGCCGAAACGTTGCAACAACTTTAAAAGCACAACTACAGTGACGTGGGAAAATACCCCCAAAAAGCTGAATGCCATACATGTAAGTACCCGCGAAAACTTAAGAAATATAGATAGATAGATAGATAGATAGATAGATAGATAGATAGATAGATA